CCATTTCGGCAACACTCGTAATGCCGAAAAAACTTGAAGGTGACTGGAGAGGGGGGCGTGGCCCGGTTTTGGAATATCATTGACTGTTTACCCAATTTATATACCCCTTTTCACTTGATTTTTTTTCATAATGTTGTTCATAAATAAATTTTGCACACAAAAAAGTCAATTGGCCCAATTCAGTTACACTTTAAGCTAAAGGGATCTTTTTAGTCCTTGCTGTGATGATGATTTTTCGGGAAAAAAATCTTTTTGTTGCAAAAAAACCTGTTATGAATGACAACTTTATGGAAGTTTCAATGTGTTATGAATATTCTAATTTAGGAGTCATTCATAAAACATTCAGAAATACAATGTAAACTTTGGCTGGCGTGAATGGGTAAAATGTACTGTTATCACCGTGAAATTATTAATTTCTTGTATAAGGCGTAAATGAGAGAAATATTTTTTATTTGTCAATATTCCTGATAATCGCATGCTTTAATAAAAAGTGAAACTGGCAAGGTTGCAGAAAAATTGTTGTTTTTGAATTCATAGATTTTCTCTTTCGATAAATATTCCTTTTTCCTAAATAGGTGTGGATCAAATGCCACAGAGAATATTACCCAGTTGAAACATTAGGAACACAAGAATATCACAGTTACTCGTATTATAATATGAGGTTATTATGAGGATACCAAAAAGTAAGCACGAATACAGTACAGGGGTGTATCGACCAACGTGCAGTGTAGATCGATGGGTGTACTTTTTGAGTGCATATTTTGCGGTATCCTCATAATGACCTTATTATTATACATATTTTCCTCCCAATGATACACCATAGAAGTGCTGAAATCCAGAAAGTTTAAAACAGAATCAGCGAACTTGTGTGGAGTTGGGTAAAACCCTCGTGGCAGCCATGTTTTGTTTTTATTATTCCATATTTGTGGTAGGATGAAAATACCCTGTAAAATGCTGCAAAATTACAGCACACTGTAACTTATGACGTTAGTCTTGAGGGGGAAATCAGCACATGTGTGCAAAACATAAGGTGTCACACATCTGTCGCATTCAACTCGTAGACATATGTTATGTAATGATTTGATACATTTATAAGTTATAATAGCCTAAATACCTTGATTTGTTAATTATTTCAGATGTCTGTGGTTTATGTTAGAACCTCTCATGACTAGAAATGAAAGTTTTAGCTTCTTGAAAAAGATTGTTGAAACTGTAAAGCAGTCCAAAGATGCCACATCACCTAGTGATAAAGATGCTAACAAGGTAGGTAAAGGAAACATGCAACAGTATGTGTGTTCTTGTCAGTTTTTGTAACATGTATCTTTGCACAGTGAAATCCTTTGAACCAGTGGTATAAAACCTATAGATTTTCTTTTGTATTCAATGTCATTTGCATATTTTTGCCTTGCCCATAATGTAGTGTAAACGAAGGGGAAGGGTATAATAAGGGAAAGATTTTGGCGGCGTCGTTGTTGGTGTGACTTGTGGGTATGATAACTCAAGTAATTTTTACCCGATTGGTTTCAAATTTAGATGTGTTATAAACAAGCATGCAAAGATGGCCAAGTTTGATGTTGGTGTATTTTGCTTTAATATTTGACCATTGTGTGAAGTCACTGTATGGTAATTAGATCTGTTCAAGGTTTATTTTCAAACACATTTGTCAGTTTATACTGTGAGCAGTAATTTTCTCAAATAGCTGCATTAGGTTAACTTTGTACAACTATGCATGTCATTTCATTTCCATTGTGTGACTTTAGTATGTTTTTGACTCCCATGTGCGAAGCACACAATGGGAGTTTTTGCAGTTACCCTGTCTGTATGTATGTATGTATGTGCGTGCATGCGTGCGTGTGTGTGTGTGTGTTCCACGGGTATCTCAGCAACCGTATGTTGGTTCTTAATGAAACTTGGTGTGTAGATGCTCTGGGCTAGAAAATGCCTTCTATTTATACTTCAGTTAACATTTGTTCTTTGTATGGTAATAAGATCTGGTCAAGGTTTATATTCAAGCTCAGTTGTCAACAATTGCTTGAGCTTGGTACTGTACACAGACATTCTTTTAGTTAACTTAGTTTGTTAAACCACAGTCGTGAGAGACTGGTTAAACATTATAAGATAATATTCTACTGTAAGGAGTTGTACTCGGTACTAGTCCTTTAAGTGAAATAAGTTTTGTAAAGATGCTACTGTACATTTATAATAAGTTATATCCTAGAGTTCAAATATAATAATTATACTATAAGTTGCTATAAAGCATATTCAGTATTCTTCAGTGCAATAAGTTTTGTAAAGATGCGACTGTACATTTATAATAAGTTATATCCTAGAGTTCAAATATAATAATTATACTATAAGTTGCTATAAAGCATATTCAGTATTCTTCAGTGCAATAAGTTTTGTAAAGATGCTACTGTACATTTATAATAAGTTATATCCTAGAGTTCAAATATAATAATTATACTATAAGTTGCTATAAAGCATATTCAGTATTCTTCAGTGCAATAAGTTTTGTAAAGATGCTACTGTACATTTATAATAAGTTATATCCTAGAGTTCAAATATAACAATTATACTATAAGTTGCTATAAAGCTATATTTCCTCAGTCAGGTAATCATGTAGAATTAGATGTTGTTACCCATAAAGTTGATAATATTATGAATCAAATAATGAACAAATTTTACAGACTTAACAAATCAAATATCTTCAAATGTATTGCAATTACTAATTCAGTTTCACCTGTATAAAAAGAATATTATACATGTTATCAAAATGTTATTATACAATACATACTCCAGCATTTGCAAGCTACATGCTTACCCGTCAATGCAGAAAAAATAATAACACACAACTCAAAACACTGCATATCAGAATGTTTGATATGAACCACTTACTGTTTTACAACTTTCACATAGTCTAGTAATAATGAACCAGTTTCTATTTCAAATTGCTTTAATAATTATTTTTTTTTACTGTATTATATAATTGAGGGTGCTTCTTAACAATTATTTGTTGCTTGCATAGATATTTAGTATGATGTGATTCAAAATCAACACACGATTACCATGACTTCAAAATCAACAGGGATAGTTGACAAATTGTGGTGTTTGTAGATTTTAATAAGACTATCAACTCATGGTTTTTTTTATGAAATTTCAGAAAATGTATGCAGTATGTGATCTGACATATGGCTTAATAATGACAAAGATTGGAAGTTTCGTATTGAAGGAGCATCCCACAGAACCTAAATTACCTGCTAAATTGTTTATTAAGATGGATAAGAGATCGCGTCCAAATACTGAAATTTTTCTTCCAAAACAGCTACAGTACAACCTATTAGATGCTAGTAAGGTAAGGACCACATTATAACCTAGTTAAGTTTTAAACTGCACAATACTCTACCAAGTGTTACTGTTCTTAAATCCTGTTACAGTGTTCTACCAATACATCCTAGTATTACTGTTCGTAAGTCCTGTTACACAGTGTTCTACCAATACATCCCAGAGTTACTGTTCGTAAGTCCTGTTACACAATGTTCTACCAATACATCCCAGAGTTACCGTTCGTAAGTCATGTTACACAATGTTCTCTCAATACATCCAAGTATTACTGTTCGTAAGTAGTGTTACACAATGTTCTACCAATGCATCAAAGTATTACTGTTCGTAAGTAGTGTTACACAATGTTCTACCAATACATCCAAGTATTACTGTTCGTAAGTAGTGTTACACAATGTTCTACCAATACAGCCAAGTATTCCTGTTTGTAAGTCCTGTTACACTATGTTCTACCAATACATCCAAGTATTACTGTTCGTAAGTAGTGTTACACAATGTTCTACCAATACATCCAAGTATTACTGTTCGTAAGTCCAGTTACACCATGTTCTACCAATACAGCCAAGTATTCCTGTTCGTAAGTCCTGTTACACAATATTCTACCAATATATCAAAGTATTACTGTTCGTAAGTAGTGTTACACAATGTTCTACCAATACATCCCAGAGTTACTGTTTGTAAGTCCTGTTACACAATGTTCTACCAATACATCCCAGAGTTACTGTTCTTAAATCCTGTTACAGTGTTCTACCAATACATCCTAGTATTACTGTTCGTAAGTCCTGTTACACAATGTTCTACCAATACATGGTTGTAGAGTCTCTTTAGTATTAACTTGATTTTAATACTAAATTCTACATGAATTGAAATGTGAAAGCTTTCAGAATAAACAGATTGTTTGGTATGTATTGGGTTCTCGTTACATAGGATACTATTTGCAGTAACCTTAATACCATTGCCCTCAAGTGTTGATAAATTGATATGTTTTCATCAAGTTTCATTAACATTTAACTCATTATCTGTTTCTTGTTTACAGAAAAAATCTACTGAGAAAATATTTGAAACTCCAAACAAGCCAAAAAAGACAGAAATTAAAGAAGTAAAAAATTTGGCAGCCAAGTAAGATTAGTTATTTTTTTTGAAACTGTCTT